GGAAGCTGTGGACTCAGGATGGAGGAAGTAAATGTTGGCAGAGGATGCTGATTTGTGATACCCCATTCTATACTACACATGGGCATTCAATACAGCTGTCAAGAGTATAAGTAAAATGGCTAAATGTTTATTTATTTAAAATGTATAGCCTAGATAAGATCTTAAGTATACTTAAGATAGGACAATATGTTTACAGCAAAAGAGCAATAGAGCTCAGTTTTTGTTATTAAACATGATGATATAAAATACGATATTTGTAGTAGTTTCACATTTTACACAGTAACCTTCACTTGTCGAGCGGGAGAGTCTAACGGGTTCAACAAGGCAATAAGTTTCTGCTCGTCTTTTCTTGACCAATGTCGAGGGATTGGTAGCTTAGCTAATAAGGCTATCATGATGTTGGGGTGTGAGAAAAAAAAAATGATTTGGAGAATTTACTCAAAGGAGGGGAAAGTCCCTTTCAAGTTTATTTAAAAATATACCACTTGCATTACAATGTACAAAATGTAGAACCGAACTATACTTAAAGTACCCACTATGTAGAGTTTAATAACAAGTGTAATAACAAGTGTAAGAACTGATTTGAGCAACAGAGAGAAATCACATATATAATTTCAATCAAATGATTTCTTTCTTATTTGACAAAATGTGTGAGAACTTTTCCCAGTTCAAAAAGATAAAAATATTTTAATTTGAATTGCTTACTTGCTCTGGCAATGGGGGAGTTTTGCCATAGCTTGAAACCCATGAATAAGGGGCAAATTTTCAAATAGCACTTTGTTTTAGACAGTTGCATATACTGTGCTACTGTAATAGCAACCTGATGGTCGCATGGCTGAATGTATAAATATGCATGTAGCTGATAGACCAGTGTTAGCCATGGAAGAGAGGCTTCAATCACAGAATACAAATAAGAACTGCAGCCACCACTGTCTGATGTGTGTGGGCACAGAGGCAGATTATAGGTTAGAGCAGGATGTTTGTGTGTGTGTGTGAGAGAGGAGTGACATTTACTTAGCTCTGCTCCTCCAGGCATTCTGTGGCCCACATTCTGAAAAGACAGAGCTGTACTAGTTGTCTGAGGAAACTTTATGATGACAGTAGTTTAATGTATGACATTCTGGTTGACTATCCTCTTACTCTGCTCCTCACTTGGTTTTATAAGTTGCTATTTAAAGACCAATCTTTGTATTCAGCATCTTGTGGAACTATCTTTGGTGACGCTGTCTTCTGCACAAAAGGATTCAACAGCTGAACTGAGGAAATTTGTGTGAATTACTGAATGAACAGGGAAACTGTCCATAATGAATAATGTTTTTTATGACATGTTTTACAGAGTTCAGTCAGAGGCAAAACTGATAACTGATGCATGTTTCAAACAGATTCTGATGAGTAACTAACAGTAAAGCATAATTAGTTTATTATTTCCTTACATTTGGTCAGGACAGTGAATGTTAATGAATATGTATACATGCTGTAAACACACTGGATTGTAGTCATGGTCTTGCTCTCACATACACCATCATACACCACATGGACATGGAGACTGCAAGATGGGTGAAGTGTCTTGCCCAAGGACACAATGACAGTATTCATTGGTCAGAGTGGCACAGCGTTCTGCCGCCCAACTTCTCTTGGTGGTCTCTTTTCTAGTACCAGTACGGTTTATGAAATTAGGCATTAACAATGTGGTATGGGGTAGTATGGCTATAATCAATGTATACATTTATTTATATAAGCCTGCTCTACAATGGGAGTATTCTGTTATTGTTGTGAAAACAAGACAGACCCCTTGCTATTTTTTGCTCTGTCCTCTGCATAAGCACATCCTTACAGCTGGATATTTGAGAAGTGCTTAGCCAACCCCCAGGGGCCCTAATGCAACACTCATCGTTTTTCGTACATCTGCTCATATCATAAAAATGCAAATCTACAAAAAATCTTTACACCTTGCTGTCATGAAATTGCGGCACATGGGGCTAACATTTTATCCCTAACTTTTGTAGTCAGTCGTCTCTCTTAATTATTATATTGGTGCACATTATAGTCATGGCATGCTGATACAAAAATGCTTTTTGCGATCCCAGTCTTTTTCTACAATTGCCTACAGCTTTCCACAAATCCTTGTATACTCTAATTAAACAGTTGTAATTATGGGTAAATTTAAAAGGAATGATCTTGATCAGTACACTAAGTACACTACGATCACTAACTACAGTGTTAGCAGGTTTAATTTATAAGGCAGGGTATTTTCTTAATTACAGGGGAAATTATTTTAAATAATTGCTGTGTTTGTGATTTGCTAATTCCAACTATTGAAATTACTTTTGAGATGCATCTTTCATCTTTATTTTGCACTTAATCTACTTGCCACATAAACATAAGCCTATATGTCTTCTGTTGTGCGGCGGGCTAAATGTTGTACATCGGGGCTTGTATTGATCCTGCTGTAAACCAAGCAGTTCAAATCATGCTTTCACTTCCCTGCTCGTATTAATTATCATCTGGTGAATTACTCTGAGCTGTGCCACTGTAAAATAAAGATGAGTTGGTTGTGTGTTGGACCTTGATATCTTCCTCTGGCTGCCAGCTTTGTCGATACCACACACTATGGATCAACTGTAGCCTTCCTTTTCCTCACAGACTGCTTAGGGTAATGTGGGTTTTCAGCTCATCCAATTGACACAGCTGTCTCCACAAGGGCAATAGAAGAGGTCGTCTGTACTGTATTTTGGACACTGATGACTGAAGTGAGTTCCCGGCTTAAATGAGCGTCCCCTTTGCAATAGTTATTATGAGAGGGAAGGGGCACAGTGCTTTTATTTGTGAGTCACTGTGAACTTTGTGCGGGCTGCAGACCTTTGATGTAAAACTTTATTAAAGTGAATGAGCCAACTTTTAATCTATAATTCTTGGAAGCATTTTTGTTTTACAGTGCAAGTGAATGGTCTAGTGGTATGTTAATGTACTATGCTCCCACCCCTTTGGCATGAGTTGTTAGTTAGTTTGGGTCAGTTCATTTTATATAATATAGCCTGCTTTTTCAAAGTAGTGACCGAAAGGACGAGATCGCGGATACAAGCGCTTGAAATGGGTTTCCTCCGCAGGGTGGCTGGGTGCTCCCTTAGAGATAGGGTGAGGAGCTCAGTCACACGGGAGGAGCTCGGAGTAGAGCCACTGCTCCTCCACGTCGAGAGGAGCCAGTTGAGGTGGCTCAGGCATCTGTTTCGGATGCCTCCTGGGCGCCTCCCTCGGGAGGTGTCCCGGGCATGTCCCACCGGGAGGAGGCCCCGGGGAAGACCCAGGACACGCTGGAGGGACTATGTCTCTCGGCTGGCCTGGGAACGCCTCGGGGTCCCCCCGGAGGAGCTGGAGGACGTGTCTGGGGTGAAGGAAGTCTGGGAGTCCCTGCTTAGGCTGCTGCCCCCGCGACCCGGCCCCAGATAAGCGGATGAAAATGGATGGATGGATGGATGCTTTTTCAAACTGAGCACTGCCAGAATTCCACTGGACCACATTTGCATGGAAGATGATTTGCTTCACTTCCAAGAGCCAATTTTTGAATTGACAGACCCTCTTGGGTGAGAAGCAGAAAGTTCCATGTTAACTAGTCCTTGTACTATAACTCACCTGGATGACTGCTGGGATTGTATAGTTCAGTCTCCAATGCCCTGTTGTTGTCACTATATTGTTGGATTATTGGACATACAGTTTTTAATACAATGTTTTTTCCCTGTACAGATAACATGCAGAGCTTGTCTGCCCTGAGTAACCATGGTGATCAGATGTTATCACACCTCTCACCGTTTGTTTCAGACACGGGGGAGAAGACATAGCTCTCACTTGGTGATACCCATACGGTATCCATGGTGATACCCATACTACTAGTATATCAAGGATGATACCCATACAATGTCCATGGTGATGCCCATACTGAATGATGAATGATGCGCATTCTATATCCACAATTATGCCAAGAGTGAGTATTTTATATGTCTCAGACAGAGGGGTTAGGAGTGAGAGCAACAATATAAGCAGTGAACTTAAGTAACCTTATCTTCAGAATCAGACTTACTTTTATTCATCCCCAAGGGGAAATTATTTTCATTAGACATATAGCCGACAAGAAGAAGAATAGAGGGATCATCTCATGCTCTGTGGTCTATGTTCCTGTTTGTTAGAAAAATGTGAAAGAGGTTCTGTGTTCTCACAGCTCTTTACAGTTGCACTCACTGTTTTAGCATTAGCTGTTAGCATTTATCTTTTTCATTTTGCACTGAAACTCGGATTAATATATCCTTATTTTACCCCAGATGTCTTTTAAGCTTTTAATCAAAAAATGAATGGTCTTTTACCCCTACCCGGCCACAAATGGAGCCCTCTTTATGCGATCTGAGCATCATATTTAACACCTTAATTTGGAGCTATCTGTTTGAAATCTTTGTTTAGGTACTCCCTGAATTAAATTATGCAGGAAGTGGGTTATTCTAGGTCATTTTAAACAGCACAGCTCATGACAGGGAGATTGGTTCTAATTCTTGGCTTGCAGAATTTTTCTTATGCAATGACTACACACTGACATAGCCTTGAAACATACAAAGCCCTGGTGAAAGAGATAATGAAATTACTAGTGGCCCTTGTGGACACAATGAACCCTGCAAAGTCATTCTGGGAGGGAACACCCTGCACCTTGGCAACTGAAAGAAGTATATAAAGCACCATTTTAATAGTGAGGATGGTTTTTGATTCAAATTCAGAGAGAAATATTTAAATATACTCTCCATGCACTCCCTCTTTCATTCATCTCTGCTGCTGGTTTGCTTTCAATTATTTCTGTTTCTCTTTCTGTCTGTAGTTGCTTGGACCATTGGTGACCGCTCCTCTCAATCCCCTTCTTATCTAATGATTGAGACGGTTTTCTGCTGTATGTCAAGGAGTTGCTTCAGGCTGAGTTAATTAAACTTTTTTTTGCTTCCTCAATGCTTAGGATTCAAATAATGCAAACATGTTGTGTATTGTGTTACTGGACAATCCGTATTGTACACTACAGCCATAGTTTTCTGAGATAACCATGAAACATAGATCATCCATCTTCTAGTGTCAATCTTTTTCAAGGGTTTATTACAGATGTGTTAAGTAAGTCTAACATTTGTTGTGTTTAAATATGTGTGCCTTTTGAGTATTCTGAACAATAATCTGTTGTGTGTGCTGTTGCATTGAGATGATTGGTGGACTTGTAGTTCCCTGTAATATTAGTGAAATGGTCAGAATATCGTTAATGCACAGTATTTCACTGTGAGAAGTTGAAGAGGTATCGATTACTGACAGTGGTGGTAAACAGAAGTGACAGCTCTACTGATGAGATCTAAAAAGAGAAAGGCTTGTGATATGTTTTGAGAGATTGAGGAAGCTCCTGAGACTCTTTGGAAGCAGTTTCCCAGAACTCAATTAGATCCAGACAGACCGATGAAGGGCCGCGTGCAAGGTGCCAACCTCAGATAATTAGAATAAATTTTTTGCCTTTTTTCAATATTTGTCTATATTTAATTTGTTGTTACTGATGGGGATAAAAGTTAAGCTGCTAAAATATTTTGAATTTCAATTAAACTTGAAAAGACATTTTACTTTTAAAATTTCTATTCATGTTAATGCATTGCAGCTTTGAGTTTGTCTAGTATTCATTGTGTCCATTTTGATAGGCAATACAATTGACTTGTATTCCCTCATATCTAAGATTGCTAGTGTATAACAGACCAAACCACATCACTGACTGCAGTTTTATTCTCCCTTGTTCTCCTTTTTTCCTCCTCAGGCTGCTGCTGACTTTGCCAAAGCCCATTTGCCGGAGGCTCTGCGCCAGAGGCTGCAGGCCTATGAGCGGGACAAAGAGCGCGACAGAGACAAGGAGAAAGATGAGAAGGAGAGAGGGGGACCTTCCTATGCTTCAATATTGGAACAACAGATCTTAAACTTGGATAGGGACATGCTGGAGAAACTCTCTTCTACTTACAATGAAGCAGGTAGGTGTACACAATTACGAGAACAGTCCTGTTTTATGTTTACCTACCACAGTGATGCACCATTTATCTGATCGATGTTCAAATGTGAACATTGCCAGTAAATTGTGCAAACGATGTGGCATTTTCTTCTTTGTCTCTCATGACTGCTGTTGAACAGTAACTGTCAGCAGCCCCGAGCCTTGCTTATTCAGCTGTTTAAATACAAGCTGATCTTCACAGGGTGTGCTGTAATTATCTTTAGGGGGAAGCTGAGAAGGAGGGCTGGGAGAGAGGAGCAGCCTTATTTGGGATAAGGGTCAAATGCCAAGATGTATAAGTAAAATGAGGACATGGTTTAGCAAAAAAACCTTTTGGTTAAACTGGTGGAAGTAAATATAAAATAATATCTACACTACAAAATGAAAGATGTTTCAAGACACTGAGCACAAAAACAGCAGAGGTACAAAGCAATTAAAGGGAGGGCAAAGATTATCAGTAGTTGTTCTTTTGTTGGGTCATTCACTAGGCAAAATTGACTAAATGAAGCAAGATCAATCTTTGCCTCTTTGATTTTACCATGATGGCTTTGACAAAGTGCTCAGAAATATTGAGGGGGGCCAGTGTTCCTCAGATATCAAATGGTCATAGATGAAAGGCTCTAAAATAAAAATGCTGATTAGAGAGAGTAATGGCTTCTTGGCTTCTTGTTGTCAAATTCCCATGAGCTGTATTTGACTACAATGTTCACATTTTCAATAAAAAAAAAAAGCTAAGAACCTTCTAATGCTTTCAAGCTCTCTATATGCTTTCTATAGCAATTTTTAAAAACTAATGACTGTTTTTTTTTTTATAGCCAATAAAAAATTTTATTTTAGAATCAGAGCAACATGTGGTAATGAGCTTTTTCTTTAAGGTCAGTTTAAATAATTCCCCCCAAATTACTATAAAACAATTTACTGTATATACTGCACTGCTTTACTACATATGAAAACATAACATAACAGTAGAGTCCAATAGAGTTTTAAATGTCCACAGCCTACTACTTACCTATAGAGAAACGTGTTGTCACATTTTGTGCAGTGCTAGTTCACATACTAACACTATTTACTGAAGGTAATGTTTTTCCCTTTTTATGTAATTTTTTTCAGTATTGATACCTGCTCAAATGAGTACTAGTTTTAGTATGGGTATTTGGTTCTGTTCTGTTCCATATTGTTTCCACAGACTAGACCAGTGAGTGAAGCAGTGTAAACTGGGATAGCAGAATAAATACACTGTAAAGTTAATCTTCAATGAGGAGGTGTTGGAGCTTGTATCATTAATTAATACAATCTTAAGTATCACACTTTTCACTAGTGAACTTTTAATCAGGAGCAGAAAGTGTATGCCTGGCATGATTAGGCTAATTGGGCCAGAGAATGCTATTGAGGCACCCTAGTCCCTTATTTCCTTCACCATGGGAAGCAGATATAAATAATTAGCTGGACACAAGCATGGCAAACTGCAAAGGCAGCTATAGGCAGCACTGCAGAAAAAATATCAAAAAATATTTTCCATATTTCTATATTACCATGAAAAGCGATCTTTCATCTGGTATAGCCATCAAATGAATATTGTTTAGTCCTGCCTCACTCAACAAAAAATAAATACATAAAATATATGGAATTAGTTGAAGTGTGTTATGAATCTTGTGCATATGATCTAACCCCACACTGCAGATCCATTGCAACACACCTTTGATCCTGAAACAGAAATGGAAAGAAAAATTGGATGGCAAATTTTGAATGCTTTTTTTGATTGTTTAATAATTTTGTGAAATGTGTCTTCTTTTCTTGTGTGATAGGAACAACATGTCTAGTGGCCTTGTTGTCTGACAAGGAGCTGATTGTGTCCAATGTTGGGGACTCACGGGGGGTTTTATGTGATAAAAATGGCAATGCCATTCCTCTGTCACATGACCACAAGCCTTACCAGCTCAAAGAACGCAAAAGGATCAAAAAGGCTGGTAAGTGTTTCAGACATTGTATTAGCCTTGATCTTGTGAGCATTTTTTAACTATAAAAATAACATAAACTGAGAAACTGAGAATCTCTATACATGATTCTATATAAATAAACATGCAGTTCTATACAGAAGATGTATTTTCCTTCAGTCTTCAAGATGACTCATACACCCCCTCTAGTGGTTTATTAACGTAAATGCAGAAAATTGCTGACGTGGTCCTAGACTTCTGTTGTTCAGAATGATTCATTGTTGTTTACAATGTGTATGTAGTATATATGATTTTTTTTTTCTCTCCTGGCACAAACTTGAAATAAAAACAAATCAATCAATTGTATACATGATTTATTTATTAATTTATTTTTATTCTTGCACAGGTGGCTTTATCAGTTTCAATGGCTCTTGGCGTGTTCAAGGCATCCTGGCCATGTCACGCTCTCTGGGAGACTACCCCTTGAAGAATCTCAATGTTGTTGTCCCAGATCCCGACATCATGTCCTTTGACTTGGACAAGCTTCAGCCTGAGTTTATGATCCTGGCGTCGGACGGCCTGTGGGACACATTCAGCAATGAGGAGGCTGTGCGTTTTATCAGGGATCGACTGGACGAGCCACATTTTGGTGCCAAGAGCATTGTCCTGCAGTCCTTCTATAGAGGCTGCCCTGACAACATCACTGTTATGGTTGTCAAGTTTAAAGGCAAGTCTACTGAGAAGTAGACCTGCATAGAATAGAACAGAGGTAGAATGGTAACCTCATTCAAACAAAAGGTACAAGCTCTTTTCTTATGTCAAATGTTGAAATAATCACTTAAGTTGGCCAATTCTTTCATTGCTATGACAGTTTTGAGAATATATTTGTGCTTAAAATATTTTAAGTGAGAGAAAAGATGGAAGTATATTATTTTTTGTCCATTAATAAAAATAAATTGACATTTTTTATATTTTTTTCAACTGGATTGAGATTCTTTTTTCTATGAAAACATATTTTGCATTTTAATGTAATCCAATAGTTTATTTCCACACTGACACACATATCAAGATTAACTGCTGTTTAAGTTGCTGATGACTATCTCGCCATAATTGTGCAAGCTTGTTATTTCCCTTCATTACAGTGAAATAATAATATGCATATTTATAAGTATGCATATTCTTGTTGTACAGCAATAGAAGCATTGGCATTGATAACACTTTGTATGCCTTTTTTGATGATTGTAATTGAAATGCATTTGTTTGTAAGCAAAGATGAATATGCCACTTGTGCAAAAGTGTATATAAATCTATTCATCTACTACAAATCTACTGTGACAAATCATGCACAACTAAATGTAAAAGAGTCATCCCTGTCTGACGGTTTTGATTGATTATATCGCATTTAAATCTTAACATTGCAGATGTAAGCCTTGAATGGTAGATGTTTTAATGCCTTAATTTTCATGTTTCCATAATGTGCTGCCAAAATCATTTCATGCTCTAATGATTTAACACTATAGTTGGTGGTATAAAGCAAATCAGACCACCTTGAACTTTAAAAATTGTGCAGGTTTTTTTTTGTAAATAAAAAGAGCAACATATAGCTGTTCATATAAATTTCTTGAAAATGTATGTTCAGAATAAATGTGAGACATCTGAATTTGTAGTTTTTATCATTAATTAAAAGCCAATCGAAGTGCAATTCTAATACAGAAAATCACTGCATTTGGATGACTGCAATTTATTATTACTGTATTACATTTATTCTTATTGGTTGTAAATAGATGATTATTGGTTGCTACTACTCACTATCCTTTCTTTATGTAAAAAAGCGCACTTGCCATACAATAAATGTAAACATTTGCCCAAAAAAAGTCTACTTTTGTTTCAGCCTGACATTTCTTTTTGGTAACTCTAGGTTCAAACTTTTCTGTTTTTTGTACCTGTAGAAAAAAGAAACAACAAAAACCACAAAAAACACTTACAGATCAAAGAGAAACAGTCATTTTCACTGACTCAGTCAAATATTTAATCCTTAACAGACACATTGCCATCTGGTGGGTGATAGCTGTTTCGCAAAGAGGCACACAGGATGTGGATTTTACACATTTAAAGTATTGGTTATTAAAAATGGAATCATTGCAGATTTGTGTTTATGCCCATGGAAATACAACATTAGTGCAAATCTAAAGTAGTTTGTAGTTTTTTATTGTATGATCCAAAGCTTCACTTGTGTTTACTTCTGAGATTTACTGGAGCAGGTGTTTGCCCCTGCACTGTCACTGTATTAAAAATAGCTTTTCAGAACGCTCCAGTCAACTGGGCTAGGCTCCCAAGTCTCAGCCTTTGAAAGACTGCTGGTCAGAAAATATCTATTGTTTTTTGTTTACAGTGCAGGAACATGGGAACTCATAGCTCTAAACCTCAGAAGCAAGCTCATGTCTTGATGCTTGGACTGGATGGTTCAGGAAAAACCACACTGTTGTACAAACTAAAGTTCAACGAGAGTGTGTGGACAGTGCAGACTGTAGGCTTTAATGTGGAGAGCCTGGACACAGACCGAAGCAGCCTGGCACTTACTCTGTGGGACATTGGTGGCCAGAGGAAGATGAGACCTTATTGGAAACATTTCTACCCTGATGCAGCGGGGGTACTTTTTGTGGTGGACAGCTCGGACCAAAAACGATTGGAGGAGGCTCGTAAGGAACTGCATCGAGTAATCAAACATTATAAGCACAAAATATCAAATTAATGGCATACAGCTTTATATGTATTTTCTTTTACAGGCCTTGCGTTATGAGAGTCTTAGGGGCATTCCATTGGTGGTCCTTGCTAATAAACAGGAGCTTGCAGGGGCACAGAGTGCAGGAGCCCTCTGTGAGAAGCTCGAACTCAGAGGAGTGTGTGAGGGCAGAGCCTGGTTTATTCAGCCATGCTCAGCTGCTACAGGCATGGGACTCCAAGAAGGATTCAGAAAAATGGTCTATCTAATGAAGACACCACTGAGACAGACAAAGGAAGACATTAAGGTCAAAATCCAGTTAAATTGCCCCAGTTTTATCAGGCTAAAGAAAGCTTTAGCCTGTGGGCCTACAAGTTAAGCCAAAATGTAGGCCAATTTAAGGACATTCAGAGTGAAATTTGTTATAGTTATTTAACATTCATTGATTGTAACATCTAACTAAGTGGACAAGACCAGACACTACTGGGATATTCCAATTGTTGATAAATTCAAATGGAACACTGAATAACCTGCCCATTTTAAGGAAATGAATAAGTAAGTACTGCAAAATACTATCCATGGTAGCCAGTCTTATATTTCCACAGAAATCACGATATAAACTATTGTAAACAACAAAGTAAACTGTAAGTCTTTCCTACATGGTGCATGTCTGCTTGTTAGCGATTAACTAGGCTTATAGGCTATGCACTGTACAGACGTTTATTTAGACTGTTTGAAGGTGTCATGCTTAATTCTAATGGACAGATTATACATAGCCCTGGTGGCCAAATAAACTTGTCGAAATTGTGATCTCTTGGTCTTGAATGCAATACAGACAATTCTTGGCAATTATTGATCCAACATAGTTCCTTATTAAAAAACAAAAAGACACCTTGCCTGTGCCAGTCCCACGGTGCCAGTGAAGCCCGCACAGCCAGGCCATAACCAGAGACCAATAAGAGCAGAGGGGAATCCCCACCCTTCCTCCTCTACGCAGAGAGCGGGGCTGCCCACCCCATGGCCCACCCTCCTCTTGCACCCGCCCGCCCGGCATTCCCAGTATGCACTGCGGACACAGCAGCAGAAAATAGTCCGCTAACCGAGAACGAGAAAGGGAACTAGAAAGGGCCAACTTACCAGCTCATTTTACGATTAACGTAGTAAAAAACACAACTACGAATATGGCCGATAACGAGAAACTAGACAACCAACGACTGAAGAATTTCAAGAACAAAGGTCGAGATTTGGAGGTAATTTTTGGCGAGTATCTCCCTTCACTGCGGTGCAGGCTTTGCTCACGGACAGCTCGCTTTCACTGTGACGTCGTTATAATTTTCACTTCTAAAAAAATACTCGTTGTCTCAGTCAGTGTTTTCATGTGTTACCCATGGATATAAAAGACGATGTGTTCTGTTGCGATTATTGGTTTGGTAGTATTGGATTAGTATAACAAGTTAGGCTAACTAGGGGGCGCATATGGACGTGTCCCGTTAGCTTAGCAGTGTGCTGTAATGCTAAACAGGCCAAACAGGCTAACTTGAGTTAAGATCATCATCCACCAAAATGTTTTGCAACAGTTCGACGTCGAAGCCAAACGCGGAGATGCAGATGTTCGTTTATGTGTCACTGCCTTTATATTAGTTGTTTAACTGTATCATTGGCTGATTGTGACATTTATAGCACTGGTAAATCGGTGTTTTGATACAGGAGTGGGCTCGGCTATCTTGCTGCTGCTTGTTAGCTTTCTGAACGAGCTCAACGATGGGCTTGGTGCTACTGGTGGCTGCACCCATCCCCCGTCTTTATCGTAAAAGAAAACAAAAAACAAAATCCGAACGCGTAACTTAGTTTTGTCTCTTTAAAGACGAAATATAGTTAGACATGTTGTTTGCAACGCCCTAAATTAGTTTCTTCCGCGGTGCCACGCGTGGGTAGCTTCCACTATTAGGACAGATGGACGCTTCAGTGTTTTCGCGATCAGTTTGCTATCCCATGTCCACTAAGGAGGAAAGTTGGCAGCTATTCACCCCCATCCATTCTAGCACCTTGTTATTATCATATATTCATAGTTGATGTGAAGTAAAATGGATACATCAAACGTTTCCAGTCTGTCAAGCTGCTCATGAATGCCACCAGGCAACAAATACCTCCGCCTACGCCTAGAAACCTGTCTAGAACTGAGGCAACACTACTAGCATTTATTTGCATCAATAAGCCCACATCTGTGTGCATTTCTCCCCCAGAAACTAAACGAATATAGGACGGCATGCAATTTAACAAACGGCCATGCGCCACAAGCAATTAACTCTGCTTATTTTCCGCAGACTATGAGGAGACAGAGGACTGAAGTTGTTGTAGAACTCCGAAAGGTATGGCTTTGTGTGTTTGGTGCAGTGTAAGTGCTATTTTACCATAATGATAATTACAATTCAAACAGGTGAAACGAGATGAGCATCTTTTGAAAAGAAGAAATGTACCTCATGAAGATATGTGCGAGGACTGTGATCTGGATGGAGATTTCAGATCGGTATGGTTAAATTTTTGACTCTTTCCTCTTTTTAGGTTAACCAGATTTCCTTGAATCCATATATAAATCGAAAGGCAATTAGCTTTGATGAATGGTATTGGTATTGTCCCTATTCAAATGTTAAATAATTCAACTACTAGCACTATGATGAAGGTTACATGTCTGAGGTTTGCTCAAGTGCCTCATGTCTGTATAGCACAGAAGTATGAACCTGTAATAATTTGCACATGACTAAACAGTTTGAGCGTAAATGGTTTAATTGGGTTGTTCTCAATGTTTCTGTAAAAAGATGAGCATTGAGGACTTCATTCCATATATTCATATACATGAATAATGATATTTCCTTTGCCGGTAGCATGTTTTAAGGAAATGCTTACTGTCACAGGTTTGCCAGACACAGCAAAAAGTAAAAAAAAAAAAAAAAAAAAAAGCTTCACAAAGTAACCCCACCTGCCTTAAGAGCAGGCTTATGAAAAGTTTGTGAGATCTGTTGAAATATAAAAACAAAATGCTTTTCTTTACTTCATTGATTTTTAATGTTCAGTTGTTTTTGTTTTTTTAGCAAAACACCTCACTTGAAGCAATAGTGGAAGTAAGTTTGCTTGTCTCACCATTATCATAATTTAATATGACGTGATCTTAAACTGTGACCATTTTAAATTTGTTTATATGCTTCATTGTAGAATGCCAACAGCAATAACCAGGGCATCCAGCTGAGTGCCGTTCAGGCTGCCAGGTCAGTAACTCATTTAGTTTAGGGCTATAATTGGGAAATATTGACACAAAATTAATATCTCAATGTTGTTTTAATATCCTGATGACAATATACAGTTGTTGTAGCTATGTGAAATTAGATGCGTTGGTCATAGGACGAGCATGGCGAATGGTCAGTCAACATGACAAAACTATATATGTATATATATATATGTATGTGTATATATATATATATATATATATATATATATATAATAAATAAAATATAAAAAATTTAACTATACACTCACTCACTCTATTTGGAGGATGGCACCGAACGATAATTTTAAAGCAGATGATGTACCAAATTTTTTAGTTTTGCTTATCTCAAACAAAAATGCATTTTTCAGTGTATCTCCTGCCTCATTTGTGCTAATATCTGCTGTGATACTTTCTTTTTTATCACAGGTTGTACAATAGATTCAAAGTAGTTTTGCATATTGTTTCATTTAAACAACATTTGCCATGTCAATTGCGGTATGTTTAGGAAGTTGCTATCCAGTGATCGTAACCCTCCCATTGATGACCTGCTAAAGTCTGGGATTCTTCCCATATTGGTGCGTTGCCTGGACAGAGATGACAAGTAAGCTGTATTTACAATAATTTGTTGCCATTGTTGTTGCCAGCTTTTTAACTCTTGATACAATTGTCACACTCCAGCCCATCTCTTCAGTTCGAGGCGGCCTGGGCTCTCACAAATATAGCATCAGGAACTTCAGAGCAAACTCAAGCAGTGGTTCAAGCCAGTAAGTCTACTACTTCATCTATCACTTGTTTAACCTCATGGACCACCTCTGCTGGAGGAGGTGGTCCATGATGCATCATGTAATTAAAACTGAAGGCATCCCTCTCATACCCCTGATTTAGAGCAAACTTTTGACTTTCACCTATGACTAACTGCATAAAGGGCTTTACCAGTTGAGATTCACAAAACAGGTCCTCAGTCTTGAATAGAATGTATCTACTAAAGCCAAGTGGTTAATGCATTTAGAAAATTGCTTAACCACATTAAAATGAATAGACATCACAGATCAATATGGCAACTTTTTTTTTTCTTAAGATGCTGTGCCACGCTTCCTAAGACTACTTGAATCTTCTCATCAGAATGTGTGCGAACAGGCAGTGTGGGCATTGGGTAACATCATTGGTGAGTTGGAACCCTGGAATTATTTGTCAGGATGAATTGTAATATTAAACATGTGGATATGAAACATTTTCTCCCTTTTCTCAGGTGATGGTCCGCAGTGCAGAGATTATGTCATTGACTTGGGAGTGGTGAGGCCTCTGCTGGGTTTCATAAGTCCCTCCATTCCCATCACCTTTCTTCGTAATGTGACTTGGGTTATGGTTAATCTCTGTCGCCATAAGGACCCCCCACCATCCATGGAAACAATCCAAGAGGTGCGTGGCAACTGATAAAACTTCTGTTACCTCACATGGCAATGTTGGTTTTAAAGTACTGTATATAATTTTTCTTTCCAGATTCTGCCTGCTCTGTTTAGGTTAATCCGCCACTCGGATGTCAGTGTAAGTATTTTATTTTGGATCTAAAATATGTTCATCATGATATAAATGTAATTTAAACAAAGCTGTTTTTATTCAGATCCTGGTTGACACTGTTTGGGCTTTGTCCTACCTAACTGATGCTGGCAATGAGCAAATCCAAATGGTCATTGACTCTGGAATTGTTCCTCTTTTGGTTCCACTGCTCAGTCATCAGGAGGTCAAAGTTCAGGTAAGCACGATTACAATAATTTTAAATAATAATAAGCAACAGTAATATCAATAATAAAATAAGTAAGTTCTTGTCTGTGGTTGGGTGGGTGTTTTTACTTCAACATTTTAATGTGACAATACGTGTCCTTCAGACGGCTGCTCTCAGAGCTGTGGGAAACATAGTGACCGGAACAGATGAACAGACCCAGGTTGTGCTCAACTGTCAAGCTCTCAGTCACTTTTCTGCCCTTCTCACTCACCCCAAAGAGAAGATCAACAAGGTAATGTGTTCAGCAAACAGCAATGTTTGATTATGACTCAGACAAGTTCAGTGGAAGTGATGAAATTAGAGACTTTGTGCAAGAGTGACGTGTGAAAGTTTAAGATACAGGGAAATCTCTGCATGAAGAAAGAAGAGGACGATGAAGATATGATATGATGTTCTGTAGTTAGTTAGGTATACGTATGAGTGAGAATTTAAATGCTTTTCAAGTGGGTGGTGGCAAACGGGTGCCAAGACTGTAAGTCTGTGCCGATGAAGGAGTGCATCTGAGATCTGTCATTTGAAAATGAGGCTTCATTATTGACAGAAACAATGATTAGAGCCTCCTGTTCTCCCATACCCCACCCACAGCACTCTGTCTCTGTCTTAGATGACACTTTGTGTGGTCTAAGTTCTGATCCAATTACCACAATCTTTTGACAATTGTTAATACATATGTGTGTGAGTGTTTTAGAATTTTTATTTTGCTGTCAACTAACTTACTTTTGTCCTGTAGGAGGCAGTGTGGTTTCTGTCTAACATAACAGCTGGAAATCAGCAGCAGGTGCAGGCTGTCATTGATGCCAAACTCGTTCCTATGATCATCCAATTACTTGATAAGGTTTGTCTATGCCCCATAAACATCTAGTTGAGTTTTAAGAGTGAAACGAAATGTACATTTTATTGTATTTTTTTTCCTTTTCCAAGGGTGACTTTGGCACACAAAAAGAAGCAGCCTGGGCTATAAGCAACCTGACAATTAGTGGAAGGAAGGATCAGGTATGCCCTCATCAATACACTATAGGTGCACTAAACCCCAATAACTTATATGTCATGTATTTCAATAGGTGGAACACTTGATTATGGATGTAATTCCACCATTCTGCAACTTGCTAACTGTGAAGGACGCTCAAGTCGTGCAGGTGGTCCTTGATGGACTAAGCAATATTCTGAAAATGTTTGAAGATGAGGCAGACACGATTGCTGGCCTCATTGAGCAGTGTGGAGGTAAATGGGTTTCATGTAGTGTTTCTATGAACTAAAGGTTGACATGGAAATTTAATCATAATTTCTTGGTCAGGTTTACAAAAAGTGGAGGCATTGCAGAATCATGAAAATGAAGACATCTACAAATTGGCATATGAAATTATTGACCAGTTTTTCTCATCTGATGATGTGAGTTATTTTGACATGTCCTGCATGTTTTAAATTTGGCACAAAATTGAGATTTTACCTTTTTGATATAGATTGATGACGATACCGGTCGGGTTCCAGAAGCTATCCAAGGTGGAACTTTTGGCTTCAACCCTGCCAATGTGCCAGCTCAGGGATTCCAGTTCTAGAAGGCATCTGGGGTATTCTGGAGTTTTGTTCACGATGCAGCACTCTGTTCAACATAAAAAATTAGAGCGAGAGAGAGAGAGCGAGTGTGAAACTTGATCCATTGTGCTTGGCTCGTGGGATCTATGGCTGCATCTTATTTGACAGGAAAATGAATGGATTTCATTTGGCATTCCCGAGGAACCGGCCCAAATGAAGTTTGAGATGGCGAGTGGGTGCGAATGAGAATGAGTGGCTACATGTTGCAAAAATGCAAAACATCTACATTGAATGCGTTGAGAGACACGCTGACATAACTTCTGTTATTGGAGCAGCCGTCACGGGAAATCTACGTCAAATGAAATGGCCTACCTGAGAGAATTGTGAACTTTCAACAATAGAAATCAAGACTTCTTTAAATATGTCAATACAAGAAAAAGCAGAGATGAAAATGAGCTGAACCATAAACAATTCACAATTCTGCAGTCCTCCGACTAAATAGGGCTGTAATGAGCCCGTCCCCCAATCGGCCACGCTATCAGACACGTGTGTGTGAATGGACCCATTGTGTACGAATGTCTGGACTCGATGCTGAGGAGCCAGGTTCATCTCCTCCAACGCAATGCCCTCACTGGGCGAAGTCCTCTTCCCATGGGGGGCCAGGCCAAGAGTCCGGCTGCGCAAGTTGCGTGTGCGAATATGGACAGATGAGTGGTGTGCGCTTGGCTGCGTGTGTGTGTTTGGGGAGTATGCAAGGATGCTAAAAATGCATGCAAAGAGAAGAAAGAAACTAATACAAGAGAAGAGTAACAAAGTGAAATGAGGTTAGCAGAGGTTTTGGACACAGAATTCTACTTCGGAAAGAGAGGCTGATCCTTAAGCCCCTTTATAACACGATTATTAGATAATGGAAAAAGAAATGTCATTTTTTTGTTGTTTTGAATTAAGTTAGTATTAATGACACTGGACAATGCTATTAGCAGGTGTAAAGCAGCAGTGCGTTTTATCACGATGCATTTGGTGGCTTTTTGGGGTCTTGTTTTACCTCCAGTGTATTCCTTTTTTATTATACTTTTATTTTCAGCTTTTATTTTGCTTCTGTAAAGACGATTGACAAAGATTATATTACACCATGATAATTAACCTACACTCCAGACATGAGCTGGATGCTGTGAAATTCACTATTGACATCTCTATAGTAACCAAAACATCTGTTCCCTTGTGACATGTCTTTACTTTTAGTTACAGCAAAGTCGCTGTTCTGCAGTAATGTTGCCATAGTTTTGACCTATCACTAAAGGAGACGAGAACAAGGGCCATTAAATGTAGGATTGTGAATCGTAACCTTTGCATGAACTAAACTATAGCACAGTTCTTTTTTAGGATATTAGTTTCCTTTAGGCTGTGGATACAGTGTAACTTTATTTTAAGTAAACTGTGCTTAAATGTGACATGTTGATCCCTATTCCCTTGTTCCTCATCAAGTGTCCAGTTTGCTAAATCTGTGATTTTGCACATGTACTGCAAGTAAGACCTGAAGTTTATAAAGGGTGCTGGTTGGGTTCATAAATTAGAGCTACCAACGGCCCAAAATGTATGCATCACTTTACCACAATCTTTGTTTTTTTCAGAAGAAATAATTGATGCTTTTAGGTAGAAATACTTTATTTCAGGAATAGCAGTTTAGACTACTGCTGATTTTCAGACTTAAGGGGAATCTGAACTTCAATTCTCGATGTTAACGTATAAAGGATCCCCAAATGGAGAACTGGAGTTAAATGGGTTCTCCTTAAAATCAATAAACCCATAATGACCTTCGCTGTACCTTTTTTATTTCCCAAGACAAAATATTTACCCGATAGCTGTAAATGTCTATCTCCTCTGTTCTCTAAACTGTAGTGAACTTCTACAGATTGTGCTCAAACTTTGTGTTAAGCAAAGGGTTCTTTAATTTTGCAGCATTCCTTGTTCGCAAAGATTTGGTTTCTGAAGAATTGAAGTGGTTTGTCCACAGGTTTGTGGGAGACTACTTCTTCAGGCTAGTTTGTCTTTGAGAAAAATAAATAGGTAAACCCAAATCGAGAGACTGTGTGTGTGTGTGCTCTGTTGTGAAAGTTGTTTGAGTTTACATACTTTTATAGTGACATGACACCGGTTTCCCATTCTGCTTACTTTATTGTACTGTATGGCTTTCGTACGGAGTTTGTTTTCAAATCAAGGCGTGCAATGATTGGCCCCCTCTTCGCATGCGCAGACGCCGTACAGAGCCAAATACTTTTTCTGGACGGCTATAAACAAGAAGGGCCGGCTTCTGATATTTATTCTTCACATCCCGTCACACCAAGCAATAAATAGAAGATTCAATACATATCCTATTCAAATCCGGCAATCATTTGTACAGCTTGCATAAATCACATTAGTTATCCACATTTACTAGAAGCACTTGAACGCAGCACGGGCATAACAGGAAATGAGATGAGTTGTCGTTTTGGGCCGTAGTTTCGAGAGACGCACATCGTAAAACGGTGAGTTTTTACAATGTAGGCGATGTTCTTTTTCCCCAAAAAGAAATCTGTATTTAGGCACGTGTTTGACAATATATTTTGCCAGTTTTAAATGCAAAGAACAGCAACAGTTCAAATTGTTAAAATGCTTTGCCCTGTGCACTAGTGATGACAAAAGTATGACTGCCATGGATGTAGTTATGTTTTTACGCATGTTTAGGCCCAAGACTCCTTACGAGTTGCCTCAATAAGCGAAGCAATGTAACAGGATCCAACATAAGGCACTTATTTATTAGGCTCTTTTTTACAGCACCTGGATCACCTTTGTGAGTTTTGTTTGTCTGTTGTCTGCTTGAAATCTGGTCGCATTTGACCACACAATATAAAGAACAAACTTGTATTTTGCTAAACAGGTTTTCCGGGTAACTTTTCATCCACTGCCCTGTGCCGCCTTGCCAGATCATCTTTCCCCAGGCCCCGTGTGTGTACTCTTGGGATGCAGTGCCTGGAGGAGGACCTGACATGCTCCGTATGCTACTCTCTGTTCTCGGACCCCAGAGTCCTGCCTTGCTCGCACACCTTCTGCAAAACCTGCTTGGACAGCCTACTCCAGGTGTCTCATAACTACTCCATCTGGCGCCCTCTTCGCATGCCTCTCAAATGCCCCAACTGTCGTAATGTGGCGGAGCTGCCCCCTACTGGCACAGAAGCTCTGCCCTGCAACGTGTCGCTGAAGGCAATCATTGAGAAAGTAGGGAAGAATCTATTTGCCAGTGTATTGACTTTTTCGTCCACTTGGATTGTATTAGGCTTCAGAGCATTTGCTCCAGTCTAACACTTGAATTTTTTTCTTTGTTAGTACCAGAAAGATGGTCATCCTACTGGGACATTTTGTGAGGAGCATCAACAACAGCCACTGAACATGTATTGTGTTCAGGACCGGCAGCTCATCTGTGGCTTATGTCTGACTATTGGACAGCACCAGGGACACCCCATAGATGACCTGCAGACTGCATACATCAGAGAGAAGCATACTCCACAGCAGCTGGCTAAACTCTCTGAGCAGAAATGGACACAGGTTAGAAGAACTTGTTGAGTTAAATGTATAGAATTTATGTCCAGTTTAATGACGCTTCCATTTGACAGGTTTGTGAACTAGGGAAGCAACTAGAGCAGGAAAAGGAACGCTGTGATGATGTTTTGCAGCAGGATAGACAGGAGGTTCTTCAGTTCTTTCAATCGTTGGAGGCAACACTGGTCAAGAAGAAGCTGGCATATCTGGATGCTCTTGACAAAGCCTGCTCAGAAGTGGCACATGCTTATGACCCACTGATCTATAGAGTGAAGGAGCTGCAGGTGTGTATCAAGAGTTTTGCAATATATAAAATGATGTAGTCATAGTCATATGCAGGTAATATGATAATGTCACCATATTTGTTAAACCACTACATGCACATTCTGTTTATAAAATGCATTTAATTAATAATCACAGACTGTTTTCCATAAAAGTGTATTTTCTCTACATAAGCAACATACTAGTAATTGTAGTGCTGCCACAACTTAATTTTGTGAAATGAACCAACAAAGGTACGTGGCAATATGTCAGTACACTGTCTGGAGAGCTCAATACTCTCAATTCAAGGTGCACTATGTAATTTCTCTGAGGGTCTGCCCCTACTTAGGGTTATAGCTTTGCCTGTGACATTCCACAGTATGGCATGAAACGTATATATCAGAGACAAGCTTGTTGTGCCAGCAGGCTAGGTTACAGGTCAGATCTGTGGATAAGAGACTCCTATCATACTATTTTTTTGAACAATTAAAAAAATCTCTATGATGGAAGACTTCTCACCAGACTTGTTATGGTGTATCTTTAATTACAATGATCTATAGATTTTACTGGCACGCCTGTAATAATTATGTGGCTAATTCTGATTGCTTCAGGAGGAGCAGTTGGATCTGGTATCCTTGGGCTCTGCTGTGGAGGATGAGGATTCAGCACTGGTTTTCTTGGATAAAGTTCATTTATTTAGGGAGCGAGTGGAGGAGTTCATCCAAACACCTTTGCCATCCTCGTTGAGCCTCTCCGTGAGCCCTCGAGCTGCAGATTACCTACACACACACTGGCCCGCTGTCACTATCTGCAGCTTGGATCAGGCCCCTGTTCCTAAAGTGACATGTTGTACAAGATGTTGTTCACAGGCAGTTTGTGATCATCCTGCCTCCTGGCCCCAGCAGCTTTGCCTTGGACCCCTAATGGCATGCACGCTGCTTCTAGGACTACTTATAGCTGTGTGGGGATATACTGAAGGTGCAACATCATATGACTTCTCTCAGCTATCCAACATCAGTGAGGTGGTCCACAATATCAGCAATGAACTCATCTCCTCAGTTTGGAGCTCAGCAGAGTTAGTGGTCACCTATGTACACAGGTCTCATCTTGTTGCAATGGGAGAACAGTTTTTCCAGAAGCTTGGTAAATTAACATACTGGTATGAATAAAATCCAACTCATTCAACATTAGACATCATGGTTCACTTCTAACAGTATTTTGATTAGTTACATACTTTATACTTAAATGTGAATGATCGTATTTACTTGAGACATCAGAGTTTGATTTAAGGAATTCATTCAGTCTTGTTTCTTGCTAAATTAAACGTATTAGCATCTTAATGTTTTAAAATGTAAAACTGAATAGACCAAGCTCTACAGCTGTATGAGAGCAGTTCTACAAATGTGTACTTTTTCATTTTTACTTACCACTTTATTTAGTCCCGTGAGATAAGCCATTGGCTCAAACTAGTATTAAGCTACTAAAGTTGTGTGATTTAAATAACTCTCCAAACATCACTTTAATCATTTGTGCATTTTAAAATTACTTTAAATAAATAACATTGTTTTATTGCAGTTTATTCTTACCCGTTAATCATCTTACATGCAGAATATTTTTTAATTTCATAACTTTTCTAGCCAGAATTTAAAAAGGAGTAAAAAACATATTTCAAACTTTATTAGAGTAAGAAAATAGCAGCATTTTCATTATAGGAAAGAGAATATGTACAACATATAAACTGGGTTAAGCAACTTCTTGGAACATAATTGTCTTGGGGTTAATGGCCACACTCTTGGTGGTGTTGTGGGTTTTGTAAATTCCAATGAGGCGATCCGCAATCTCAAACATGTTGTTCCTCAGGGAGATTATAATGAACTGGGCATTCTTGGTTTGTTCCTGAAGACAAACAAGCAAATGATGGTTTGATTCACTATCAATATTAATTCAATACCAAACAATATAACATTAAAACTTACATAAATATAGCAGGCCACAATGGAGACATTTTTAAAATCCAGAGCAGCATCAATCTCATCCATGAAGTAAAGTGGAGTAGGCTTGTAGTGGTGAAGAGCAAACACCAATGCTAGTGAGCTCAAGGTCTTCTCTCCTCCAGACAAGTTGAATATTTTTTTCCAACTCTTCTTCGGTGGACGGACACTAAAACAAGATTGTAGTATTGAGGATGTTCGTGTAAAAAAAAAAATATATAGTATTTAAAAAAATTTTTTTCCTCACCTAAACATGATTCCCTCTGAAAACGGGTCCAAACTGTCCACTAGCTCCAGCTCAGCATCGCCTCCTAGTGTGAGCATTTGGTAGTTTTCCTTTAACTTGTTAGTAATCATGTTGAATCCAGTCATGAACTCATTGAGACGCTGTTTGCGCAAATCCTCATAGCCACGTTTAAAGTTGTCCCTCTCTGCTGTGATTTCATCGAGCTGGGCCACACGCTGCAGGTACAGTTCCTCCTGTAACAAGCAAAATTTTTGGGATCACAAAACCACAAAAACATTTATTTTAACAGGTATGTTTGTGAATACCTTCTTCTTATACTCTGCAATGGCCCCCAGATTTGGTTTCATCTGAGCGCACTGCGTTTCTAATGTGGCCATTTTGTTGATGATGTCATTTGGGTTGGAAATTTTTTCTAGTTCCTCAGGAGTGAATGTCTTTAGTTCTTCTGCTGATTTGTCCTCAATTGAATGAAGAGAGAGCTTAGATGCCTAAATATCAGGAATGAAAACAAATTAATATCAAGTCTTATTATTTGTAGAAAATTATTTTGCAGAAGCAATGCATCATAAATGTTAAGTTCTCTCACTGATTCCTTGGGAGGTTTGTCATAAGGACAAGCTAAATTATTTACAGGAAATCAAGATGCAGTGAGCGGTTAGCATGAATTTGTCCTGATAAAGACTAAGTGCAACTTATAAGAAAAATATTAACAGAGTATGGATTACTTAATTATGGGTTTCCATGCCTTGCTAGGACTCTATGGGTTGCTTGTCTATTTGTTTTCCGTTAACTACTGTACTTCTCTATAACGGTTATAATGCCAAAAAAAAAACAAAAAACAATATCACCTATGTCCACAAGCAGCAGGTCTGGTCTAAAGTATCCAACTTAATGGTGAACATGCAACTGCATCACTGACAATGAAGTAAACCAAGAACACTTTTCCCAGTGTTTAAAAGAGATTGTCACACCTCTTTCTGCCAATGCTTGATCTTGTTGTTTTGCTCTGTGATGCTGGTCTCAATCTGCTCGATGCGAAGGCGGACGCTCAGAGACTCCTCCTGCAGTGCATGCTCCTGCTGCTGTAAGGCCTTTATCTGTTTCACTATGGCCTGAAACTGCTCCTGCACATCAGGGAGTGCTGCCTGGAAAACAACATGGATTCTTCAAACTTACAGAAGAGGATTTTCCTCCACTTCAAAACAAATGGTAAGAAAATTTCCTTCATGATTCCTTAATGATTTTTATATCAATCTGTAGTAGAATAAGAGCATGTCTCCAGAATCAGGTTTGTGCCAACTAATGTATTTAATTTACTTTGAAGAGAGTTTAAATCTCTTGTTGGACTTGTTTCACACTCTTAATTGGATAGTTAACTTCCTCATTCATAGAAGTACTGTTTACATTCAAAAAAGTACTTTTTAAATGTATAATGCAAAGATAAATAAATTTTACCCAATTATAGCCTCAATTATATTTGATGTCCAGTTAGAAATACCATAATTTAACTCACAGTTGGTTCAACCTGATATGTTAAATAGATCCAATCAAGTGTGGAGTACCTCAGCCTCGTGGCAGTCCTTCATGACTTCTCCAGCTTCATCTTCCAGTTTCTTGAGCTGCTGAGACAGCTCTGTCATACATTTCGCATTCT